GGTGTGTTTCCGAAACATCACATCCATTCGTTGCACCCTTTCGAAAGGTTGCGTCTTTCCGATCGTAACCGTTCGGCCTTATCCACCCTTTGGCCAACGGTAACCGTTCGTCGGTAACCGCTCGACCTTACACCTCTTCATCCCGAGCTACCACAGTCCACCAGCTCGAGTGTCAGCTGACCGGACCACCCAGCTGGGTTAGTACTCGATCAGTTCACCGAGCTCGGTTGAGCTGTCGGTCAGCTCACCTAGCTGAGCTAGCTAGTCATGCAGCTGGTTTAGCTCACCTAGCTGAGCTAGCTAGTTCATCCAGCTTGTCCAGCTCACCTAGCTGGTTTAGCTCGAACGTTCTTTCGCGTTCTTTCCGGCTAAGTCTTTTGGTCCGTTTTCTTGGCCTTGACTACGCCATTCCCAATCTTTCCGTGATCATTTCTCCATGATCACTAGATTATCCTGATGTCGTCTATGTCATCTACCCTTTTCATGACTTAAACGTTTCATTCCTTCCTTGGGTTAGCTTATTCATTGGTCTTTCTCGACCATGATCTAGTTTTTCCTAAAACAAACCGGCCCCCCTTTAGGATCGCGGGACGTGGGTGTTACATTTTCTCTCTATTGATTGTTTAAATCTTGTTTCTGTTAGCTTTTGTGTTCTACTCGACCAGTTAGGCCTAGAGCGTTTCTCTGCATTGTTAGGTTGTTAGTTTCTTTTCCAAAGCTTATGCATGATAGTTTCTGGTCTTTAGTTTACTTCTTGTTCTTGCTTACTTGCTGTTTAGTTCTCTTTTTATGCTTTTAAATTCGGTATTTGCATGATAAATTGGTTGCTTAGGATCAATAGAAACACACAAAACCCTTTCACAATTGGCTTGACTTATTTGCTTTCTGTGCATATCTTAAATGCTTGCAGTCACACTGAGATTGGATTGATAACCTAATATACTACAATGGCATGTGTATTAGGGATTGATACTTGTTAGAGAGACAAAATCTTGCTATCAATGATTCAAACGTTTCTTGAGATTGCTCAATATCGTCTTGTTCGCGGCTTCAGCTTGCCGTTTCCTTGCGGATATCGTGGAGTCAAGTAACTGACTTTGATTCCCTAGTCCGCACAAAAGGCATCAAACTCTTGTGAAATGAATTGTGGCCCGTTATTGGTGACTATTTCATACGGAACTTCATGTCGACATATAATATTCTTCCAAATGAAAGTCTTTACCGCCGAATCCTTGATGCCAACATATGCCTCAGCTTCAATCCATTTCGAAAAGTAGTCCGTCAAGACCAAAAGGTATTGTACACCTCGAGTTGATCTGTGCAATGGTCCAATGATGTCCATTGACCACCTCATAAACGGGTACGGGGCGGAGATGGAAGAGAATAACTCCGAAGGTTGATGGATCAATGGTGCATGGAGTTGGCAGCGCTTACATTTTTGGGCAAATTTAACACAATCCGTGATCATAGTGGGCCAATAATATCCCATTCTTTTAACTTTAAAAGCCATAGCTCTTCCTGATGAATGACTCCCACATAATCCTTCATGCACTTCGCTCATGACGATTTCGACTTCGGGCCCAAAAATGCATAATAGGTAAGGGTCACTGACACCTCGTCTATATAACGCATCCTTTGATAGACAAAATTTCGCGCTAACGATTTTCATTTTCCTGGCCTGCCACTTATTCTTTGGGAGCTCACCTGTCATGATGTAGTCCTTTATTGGCTCCCTCCAGTCAGCCCCCCAGTCTTTAGCCGGAATTTGGTCAACCTTGTGAAATACTCGTGGCTATGGCTCGGGATATTCGTTTGGTTCAAGAACATCCTCCTCGATTAACGGCTCGGTTTCTAATATTGTTTCTGGAATCACATCTTTGGCTAAGACAACAGGTTCCTTGTTAGATGTATTTGATCCCTTTGACTTCCTCCGTTTGTTGGGTGGCGGTTCGATCTCTGGTTCGCCACGGTCACGTGCCGCTGCTCGAGACCTTGTAACGACGAGGGTTTCTTTGTTGTCTTGAATGCTTCGCTCCGAAATGCATTCCACTGGAATAACTCTTTTCAACTCAGGATCTGATGTTGACGCCAATGCGGCAAGTGCATCCGTAGTTGTATTCTCTCCCCGAGGTATGCGGATTAATTCAAATTTCGAGAAATTTTTAGATAGATCCTTCACCACTTCGAGGTACGCTTCCATTCTTGAGTCTTTGGCTTCATAGTCTCCATTAAACTGGTTAACTACTAATTGCGAATCACAATAAGCCACTATTTCCTTAGCCCCAACTCCTTGTGCCAATCGAAGTCCGGCAATCAGGGCTTCATATTCTGCCTCATTATTGGATGCATTGAATAACAATCGGAATGACTGTTCTAGAATTTCTGATGTTGGAGACTCCAACTTGATTCCCACTCCGGATCCTTGTTTTGTTGAAGACCCATCTACATGTAATTTCCAAGTTTGGTTCTCCGATTGCTCTATCGTTCCAGGTATTGGTAGCTCGGTCAAGAAGTCTGCTAAAACCTGAGCCTTCATACTGATCCGGCTTTTGAATTCTATATCGTACTCGCTTGATTCCACCGCCATTTCGCCAAACGTCCGGACTGACTTGGACTATGAAGTATTGTTCGGAGTGGTTGGTTGGTTAATACTTCAACCGGATGGGATTGAAAATATGGGCGCAGCTTCCGAGCCGAAGTCACCACCGCGAGTGCAAGTTTTTCCATCATTGTGTATCTGGTTTCCGGATCCATCATTGACTTGCTTACGTAGTAAATTAGTTTCTGCTCCCCGCGGTCTTCCCGAACCAAGACTCCACTAACCGCGTGGTTTGAAACCGACACGTATAAATAAAGTTTTTCATCCACTTCTGGTTTGGACAGTATAGGTGGAGTGGTTAAGTATGCCTTAAGCTGCCCAAAAGCTTCTTCACACTTCTCATCCTAAAGGAATCCTTTGTTCCCTTTTAGAATTTGGTAGAAAGGTAACGACTTATCTGTTGATCTCGAGATAAAACGATTCAAAGCCGCAATCCACCCAGTCAACCGTTGTACTTCTTTGAAGTTTCTTGGAGATAGCATGTTTAGAAAGGCGTTAATTTGATTTGGATTGGCTTCAATCCCTCTTTCTGTCACGATATAGCCAAGAAATTCTCCGGATGGGACTCCAAATGTGCACTTCGCCGGGTTCAGCTTCATTTGATATTTATTGAGAATATCAAAACATTCCTCTAAATGCTTAACGTGATCCTCTTTCTTTAACGATTTAACCAACATATCATCTATGTAGACTTCCATTGTTTTCCCGAGATGATTATGGAACATTTTGTTAACCAACCGTTGATAAGTTGGTCCTGCATTTTTCAAACCAAAAGGCATTACCTTGTAACAATAGATACCTCTATCAGTGATAAATGACGTTTTTTCTTGGTCTTCGGGGTTCATCATTATTTGATTATAACCCGAGAAGGCGTCCATGAATGTTAACAGCTCGTTCCTAGCGGTGGACTCTACAAGTCGATCTATATGTGGGAGCTAGAAACTGTCTTTGGGACATGCTTTATTGAGGTCTGTGAAGTCGATGCAAACCCTATCTTTCCCATTCTTTTTCTTGACAACGACAGTGTTTGCTACCCATTCCGGATATTGCACTTCTCTTATGGACCCTATCTTCAAAAGTTTATCCACTTCGTCATTTACTATTTTTGCTCGCTCCACTCCAAGCTTTCTTCTTTTTTGTTTCACCGGTTTGAAGCTTGGATCCACGTTTAGTTCATGACAAATTATACTTGGATTTATGCCAGGCATGTCCGCTGCTGACCATGCAAACATGTTTTGTTTTTCCTTAAGAGTTCGATCTTCTTGGTAGGAACGGTGATTGCCGGCTTCTCTTGCTTATTTCTTTTGGCAAAATTTTCTCTCTCGTCCTCTACCTCCATCCAGTTGTTTGCGCGGAAGAGTGCATCCTGAATTGTGTCTGGTTTATGAAGTATTAAATCTTCTTTAAATCTTGAATCATGTCGCAATCCTTTTCGTAAGGCAGATAAAGCTGATTGTTGTGAGATTCTTGGGAGCTTTGACAGCACTCCTTTGAATTTGGTGATGAAAACTCGAAGTGATTCATTTGATCCTTGTGATAAGTTCCAAAAATCGGCATCCGAAACGCTTTTATCCATAAGGATGGAATATTGCTTTAAGAATACAGCTGATAGCTCGTCGAAATTGCTGATCGAACCTGGCTCTAATTGGGTGAACCACATTAAAGCTTGGCCGCATAGATTTTAGGAAAAAAGCTTGCAGTAACCTGCATCCTCATCAGCTTCGTCCAATTCGACTCTTCCAGCAGCGATCAGAAAAGCTGCGAGATAGCTCTTTGGATCCTCCAATCCGCTGTAAGGGTCTAACTTGAGCTTCCGGGAATCTTTAATTCTCAAACTCGCAATTCGCGAGATGAAAGGTGTTCTCCTAGCTTCTTCAATGACTCGATTGATATCCGGCTCCGAACTTGTATCCTGATGGAACTTTGACTTCATTTCTTTTAGTTCTTGGCTAACCTTCCTCATAGTCTCGAACTGGTCGAGGCACTACAAGAAAAATTTACATTCTTAGCGCGGAAAAAATGCTATCATAGGTAATACATAGCGAAATAACAACTGCTATGATTTCGGCAGCTATGGTAGATGTCCCACCTACGATAGCATTAATTTTGTCTGCTATAGTATGTTCATATACAATAGCACTTTGTTAGTGTTATTATTTACGTTTTCATAGCAATAATTTATTGCCATTATTTAGTTGTTCATAGCAATTTATGAATTTTTTCAATTTTTTTTGATAATTCAAATTGGGTGCTATAATAGATCACTATACAATAGCAAATATTTGTTGCGTTAATTCATGTTTTCATAGTGCCATCTTTAAAAATATAACATGCTATCATATGTAATATATACTTATATATATATATATATATATATATATATATATATAACCTGTAAATATAAAATGAAACCATTTATAACATCTCAAAAACATTCCAACATACTTAAAACACTTCCGCATCATACCAAACACAATTCCGAATCCAACATACCAAAAACAATTCCAAATCCAACATACCAAACATTAAACATTCTGAATCCAAAATACATAAAGACTAGTCTTAACCTAAATTAAGCTAGCTGGACCAAAGTTGCTTCATCCCCTGCAATTAATAATGGACATTCTCTTATATCAGTTTTGCACCTGAAAAACCAAAAACACAATCATCAAAATAAAAAATACTTACCTCAGTTGGACGATAGTCAATACATGACCAAGTTATCAGTTGGCCATGTGATAAATGAACCAAGTGCATCTTTCATATACTCAATCTCATATGATGTCCTCCAAATGGCTGCATCATCTACCTGGACTATATCTACCAAAACTTGCGCAGCATTAAGACCCAAAGGAGCACAGTGTACACGTCTCTCTGGATCAGTTGAAATCACCCGTCCTTCAGCAACAACTTGCTTCCTTTCTTTAATATCCAGTAACATACACTTCTGATTTTCCTGTATAGCTCCTTTTTCCGCTGACAAGTTGACCATATTAACCAATTACTACAGTAAAATGAGACAAAACCATAATCAACTTTAGAACATATAAAATAAGTTACCGGAGATCTTCGAAGAGGCCGGGACGGTGCAGCTGTTTGAGTTTCCACTGCATTAGATTTTGGAACTGTTGTTGGAGACTTCTCACATGATGCTGAGATTGGTTGCATATGCGACTTAGAACCTGTTGCTGCGGATTTTTTACTTGCCGATGCTGATCTTCCATGAGCTGGTTGCGATTTAGAACCTGTTGCTGTGGATTTTTGACTTGATGATGCTGATTTTCCATGAGCTGTTTGAGTAGATGCATAATTCTGAATAGGAGATAACCGGCCTGTTCCATCTGGGTTGTTTTCGAAGACAACTTTGTTGAAAGGCCATGCTACAAAGGACATTAAACAGTCTTCTATGTATGTAACATCCATTGTAGGCCTCCATATGAATGTATTGGCTTCATGTACCACATCAACAAACACTTTTACAGCCTTTGGTCCGAGTGAAAGTCCATTCACCAAAGCTTTACGATCTTGCGTGGTCCAACGGCCTTCAGCAACAACTACATCATCGTTAGACAGATCAAGTAGTTTGCATTTGTTCAAAGAATTGGCTCTTGTGCCCTGTTAAACGCATAAAACAATGTCAGAATTTTAAATAATCAACAATCTGTATAAACTTATTAATTAATGAACAAGTTAGAAACTTTACTAGTGGTGCCATGTCTTCTTCCTGAACCCCCTGTTCTAGACTAACACACTTCGTGGCAGGCCATGCAATCATATGCCCAACAGATTCTTCAATTGTTGACATTCCCATAGCATTTCTCCAAAGGAATGCTTCTGGTACCGTGGCAGTCTCAACCAAAACTTTATAATCTAAAGGACCTAAACGTGTCCCATTCACAACATCCTCTGGATCAGTAGATATAATACGTCCCTCAGCAACATTCGCATCATCACCAGCCCAGTCAATCAAAATACACTTTGGTTGTGCTTTCTTGTTAACACTCTATGCAGATTTAGAGCAGAAAAAAACAAGTCAGACTTTATAGTTATAAAGAAATCAATTTCATGGATTATTAATCACTTACCCCTGCAGCAGATCTAGAGTTTTCACCAACTTCAGTTTCTTGTCCCTGTGACATGCCAGAAAAAATATTAACTTTTAATTTATGTTACAACCCAACAGCTTAATGTACAAAAAAATACAAAAGTGCATTACCTGGTTCTGCAGTTTACCAAGTTTATTTTCTAGCTCATTAACCTTGTCCTGGAGATGAATTTGTTTCTTTTCCATTTCAACCATACACTTGTGATTAACTTCGAAACAAGCTAATTTCGTCTTAGTCATATTTCTCCCCATTGCCCTCATTCGACCGGGATTATCAGGTCCTAATAGTTCGACAAGTGTATCTTGTCCTTCATTTGTTTCAACAGAATTAACAAGTTCAGCTGCCTTTTTCTGCAAATTTAGTTACATATCAAAAACAATTCCAAAAATCTAAATCTATACTGAAAACCAAATTCACGATGTACATAACTTATAACTTACAATTTTTTCAGCTGCATCAGTATTCACTGGTGTCCCATCCTTTCTAGTACGCGATCTCACCCACACATCAGTTCTTGTCACATCAGAAGGATCTGATTTCTCTCGTCTCTCTTCTTTCTAAACAAATAAAAGAATAGATCATTCAAAATACTTGTTAAACTGATGAGAATTAATAATCCAAAGCATTTGGCGTACCAAGTCTTCAGCTAGTCTAACCATTCCTTTGCGACTACAAGTGTGTGGAATCTGTAGGCTCTTCCTTTTCTTATAGCTATCACTCACAACCTAACACATGATTATAGATATGTCATATTATTCATAAACAAACATAAAGCTTACTTACTTCAGAAAATAATACCTTAAACTCAGGACTAGTTTTGAGCTTGACAAATTTACGCCAAGCAGCTTCAGTAACATTCTTAGGTCGCAGATCCATCCTATCTTTCAAAGTCGTAGCTTCATTAACTTCCCTAACCACTCGTGACTTGTGTGACCTCCACAAATTTCCCATCTGTTCAATCAATGCTTTCTTTTGGTAATCTTCTTCTACTTCAAACCTTGACTGCAATCAATCAAGGTTTTAAGAAAAAAACATTTCAACCTGGAAAGATTAAGTAAGTAGATGTCAAATTACAGAAAAGTTTACCTTGACAGACATCCAGAGCATTGTCTTCATATCCTGAGGGACTTTTGGCCAACTTTCAATGGATACAGGAACGTGTTCTCGCACAATTATACCAAGATACGTTGACAACTTAACAGACCCATGACCATAATGTTCTCCCATGAAAGTGAAGTTAACCTTTAATCTGCTATTTGGATTCCTGGCGATGTCTCTCAATCTTGTTGGTCCTCGCTTTCTCTTACGTGTAGGTTTAGCTACATGATCGTGCTCGTTAGTCCCATCATTAACTCCTGGCTGATCTTCTACAGGCTGCTCTTCTGAAGGATGCTGAGCCTGCTCTTCTAAAGGCTGAGCTTCTACAGGCTGCTCTTCTGAAGGATTCTGATCCTGCTCTTCTAAAGGCTGAGCTTCTACAGGCTGCTCTTCTGAAGGATGCTGATCCTGCTCTTCTAAAGGCTGAACTCCTTCTAGACGCTGGTTGTGTTGTAACTTATGATCAGGTTGTGGCGGGTTTATTGTACCCAAGAATTCTGGCTCTTCAGAATCTTTCTTCTTTTTTCTCCCTCCACGGTTTGTTACTTTCTTTGGTCCCATGTCAACTCACCTGAAATAAATGAAAGAAAATAGGGTTAATTAAACAATTACGAAGCAGTCATCAGATATATAGCAAATGGAAACACAAATACAAATCAAACAATTACCAAGCAGTCAACAGACGTAGCAAATAAAACAAGAATGTGAATGCCAAACAAACACAACTAAAAATAAAATAATTACCAAGTAGTCATCAGACATAGCAAATAAAACAACAACAATGTAAATGACAAACAGACTCCATTTCAGACAAATATGCCTTCACAATCAGTTCGGGCATTTTCAGATTCATCCATGTGAACATCCATGTCCACATTTGCTGGTAATGGTCCAATGTCTGCAATTCCATCATCCAAATCTTTATTATATCTTCTTGAAGGACTTGCATAACAACATGCCAACTTGATTCTGCGTCTTCCCTTAAGTAAAACACCTGCTTTGCTTGCGATGCTAATATATATGGATCTTTTAAAAAAGAGACTTGACTATGATTCATGTTAACTAGTGTGAAACCATCTTCTATCTTAGCTCCATTACCCATTACTGCCCAGTGACACCGGAAGAGAGGAACATAAAAAACATTATAATCTAATAGTATGATGTCTATCACTCTGCCGTAGTAAGATACCAAATCAACCACTTGTGAAGTATCTTTCGCACTAGCCCTACAGACTGTTGTTGCCTCATAGAAAACCCCACTATTCTGATTTTTCCTATCAACTAAACTTGTATGAAACCGTTGACCATTCACTATGTAACCTGTATATGACCGTGCCATATAACGTGGACCGTAAGCCAACCATTTTAGAACTTCTCCATGTCTGTCTGAATCAATTGGTATCTACGAGAAATAAAATATAACAAATCAGACACATACACATAAACACATGAAATAACAACAGAAAATAGTAGATTTGATGTAACTTGCCTGCTGTTTTAACCAAGATGCAAAATTCTCATAATGCATAGCCCATAAAACTGATGCATCACGTCGGCATCTTCCATTGGTGTCTTGTAGATGCTGAAGGTGCTCACTTGTACAATATTAATAATAAGAAGCTTAATCAGATACTTTATCATAAAACTGTAAATAATAATAGAACAAGAACTGTATAGAACTTACTCGATATAAGGTTCAGACCTGTGATTAATACGTGGTAGTCATGTGATTTCAGACCTTTAAGTGCAACTGGAAGGAGTTGTTGCATTAATACGTGGTAGTCATGTGATTTCAGACCTGTCACTTTACATTCGTCTACAGATACGCCTTTTGCTATGTTTGAGCAGTATCCATCTGGTCCTTTGAAATCAACAAGACGACTACATAAATTTTTTTTCTCTTTCTTCGATAGAGACCAAGGAGCTGCAGGTAGATATGTTCTTTTCCCTTGAATCCTAGGGTGCAAATCCTTTCTAATACCAAGATGCTCCAGATCTTTACGGGCATTTAGACCATCCTTTGATTTCTTACAATGTAACACAGTAGAAAGAATACTTGCAGCCACATTCCTTTCTACATGCATAACATCTAAGTTATGCCTCACAGGAAGATCCTATAAAATACATAGAACAAATACAATAATTAACTCTAACGTTAAACAAAGTTTAATGAATAAAATTTGAAAATTAAATAATATCGAAGTTTAAACATACCTCCCAATACGGTAACTTGAAAAATATAGACCTTTTCTTCCATCTTGATAACTCATCCTCATCTACATTTACTTCATCTTCTTCATCATCTTCCGACTCACTTGATAACTCCTCGTCATCAGACTCCATACCATTAGACTCAGTCTTTTTTCTCTTGCGTCCAGATCGTTTCAGATTTCCAAAGTCATTTTTGAAATTTTTCAGGTTTTGAGAAATTTCTTTTCCAGTCAATATTCTTCCCTTTATCCCTGGTTCAGTTTTTCCATCAAACCATGACTTCTTTAATCTGAAACTATGCGTTGCTGGCAGTCTCTTCCGATGGCACATATACACATGTTTTCGGCTGAACTTCAACCACACACTGTCTGTATTTTTGCCACATAATGGACATGCCATCTGACCCTTTACTTTGCAGCCTGCAAGATTCCCATAAGCCGGGAAGTCACTAATCGTCCAAAGCAGCATTGCCTTAAGATTAAAAGTTGATTTACTAAATGCATCATATGTCGTCTCTCCATTGTTCCACAGATGAATTAGATCATCTATGAGCGGCTCTAAGTATACATCAATGCTGTTACCAGGCTGTTGTGGTCCAGGTATCAACAATGTAAGCATGATGTTCTCCTTCTTCATGCATAAGTCTGGTGGCAAATTATAGTTTACTAGCAAAACAGGCCAGCAACTATAGTTGTTGTTCTTCATGTCGAATGGATTAAATCCATCCGTTGAAAGACCAAGCCGCACATTTCTTTCTTCAGCTGCAAAGGAAGGATATTTCGCATTCATCTGATCCCATGTTACTGAATCCACAGGGTGGCGGAGTTTCCCATCGTTGCTCTCGTTACTATGATGCCACCTCAAGTCCTTAGCCATCTCCTCAGATCTAAACATTCTTTTCAGCCGTGGGATTATTGGAAAGTAGCGTAACACTTTCTATGGAACACCTTTCTTTACTTCACCATTAACCGTGTTCGTCTTCCATCTAGAAGCTTTGCATTTAGGACAATTCTCGAGATCCTTGTACTTCTTTCTGAATAAGCAGCAATCATTAACACAAGCATCAATCTTCTGGTAGCCCATATCAAATGACTTAAAAAATTTCTTCACATCATATAGTGATGTATGTAGCACATTGTCCTCCGGTAGCATCCCCGATAGTGTCTCCAAAAGATCATTGAAACTCTTGTCAGACCACCCATTTTGTGTCTTAAGTCTGAATAGGGACACAATTGCCGAGAGTTTACTGTGATTCACACAACTTGGATATAAGGGTGATGCAGCATCTGCAAGCTTTGCAAAGAAGTCATCTTCTTTCTTGTTCTCACAATCTGCGGTCTCATCAGGTTCATCATCTCCAACAAAGTCGTCATCCATGAACTCAGCAGCTTGATATAACCCATATATCTCATCCATTTGACTGAATTTACTGTCACCTTCAACCCCAGAATTTAACTCTCCATGATGATACCAATCAGACCGCCGCTTATAATCCTCATCCATACCTCTTCTAACAAGATGGTCAACTACAACACTTCCTATGTGACGATCTATATTACGACAGTCGATGCAAGGACATACAATCATATCACCATCTACCAAAGCCGCAGACACAACTCTTACAAAATCTGAAGCCCCTCTTTGATAAGCTGGATCAGCTCTTCATTTAAGAATGAAGAGAAAAAAAATAAAAAAGAAAGAAATAAAAAAAATCTACAAACCCCTATTGAAAACTTAACATCTATATAATTAAATTTAATACCTGCAAAGATGCACCCAATCTTTGTCCAGCATTATATGATATAAGCTTAATTTAAAACCTTTAGTATCCTTAACATCATATAAGAACAGAGTTATTGAAAAAATCAGACACATCAAAAAATAACTTTGTACTTTAAAACAATTCAGACACAAATATACCTACGTTCTTTTAGAGCTAGAGAGAAACAACCATATCACATATATTAAAACAATATAAACAAACTCAAAACAAAACAGTATGTTTGAAACAACCTAACAGCATTAACAACAAACCAACCAGACAAAAATAAACAAACAAAAGAGACAAAAAGAAAGAAGCTACTAACCTGTCCTGTCAATGGAGATAAATAAAATCATTAAACTTCCATCAATGCACTCAGCAACACTTGCAAAACATAATTGGAGAAAGAGTATAAGTTTTAAAAGTCATATTACAGTTTGATCTTAAAACGATTTATATAGTCAAAGTAATGAAACTGCAGTACAAAGACTCATCATAAGAGACAAAGAAAGAAGCTATTAACATGTCCTGTGATTAGAGATAAAGAAAAGCTTCAAAATTCCTTTAGTGCACTCAGCAACACTTGCAAAACATAATTAGAGAAAGAGTTTAAGTTTTAAAAGTCATTAAAAACGATTTATATAGTCAAAGTAATGAAACTGTAGTACAAAGACTCATCATAAGAGACAAAGAAAGAAGCTATTAACCTGTCCTGTGATTAGAGATAAAGAAAACCTTCAAAATTCCTTTAGTGCACTCAGCAACACTTGCAAAACATAATTAGAGAAAGAGTTTAAGTTTTAAAAGTCATTAAAAACGATTTATATAGTCAAAGTAATGAAACTGCAGTACAAAGACTCATCATAAGAGACAAAGAAAGAAGCTATTAACCTGTCCTGTGATTAGAGATAAAGAAAACCTTCAAAATTCCTTTAGTGCACTCAGCAACACTTGCAAAACATAATTAGAGAAAGAGTTTAAGTTTTAAAAGTCATAAAAACGAGTTATATATTCAGAGTAATGAAACTGCAATACAAATAATCATCATAAGAGACAAAGATAGAAGCTCTTAACCTGTACTGTGATTGGAGATAAAGAACAGCTTCAAAATTCCTTTATTGCACTGATCAACACCTGCAAAACATAAGTAGAGAAAGAGTATAAGATATTACTGTTTGATCTCATATAAAAACGATATATATATATTCAAACTTTCATATACAAAACCAAAGTAATGAAATATCCAAGATACACAACCAAACTATAATCATCAAAACATGTTCTTAACTTATATACACAACCTATATGTAAAATGGTGGAGAAGCTTTGCTCGGATACAGAAAATAAAACTCATATCTCAAACAGACTCATAGCGTGTTTTACGAGCTTTTTAACAAGAAACTCAATTGGATTTGGTATGTCAATCAACCGGAGTCTGGTCTCAAAAGAAAACAATTTTCAATCACTCTTGTATCTCTTAATACTGACCAAGAATGTGTATTTCGACTAAACTAAAAAGTAAACCTTAAATTATACAGATTTAACAACTGGAGAAGGAAATAAGGGAAGTAAAGCAAGTTCTTTATGACAAAAAAGAACAAGAAACAGCAATGCTTGTTTGAACGGATCTTAAACAAATGTTCTAAAATCAGATACATAACCAAAATTTTTGTTCTTTCATTGCAAATGTTAACATACTAAGCTAAAACGAAATCGTAGAGACTTATAATGACCAAATCAAAACACATAAACAGATCTGAGCAAACACATAAACACATAAACAGACTTGAGCTAAACATGTTTGAGCAAACACATAAACACATAAACAAATCTCTTGCATGTCATAAAAAAAACCCGTTTATTGTTCCAATTTCATCAGGAAATCGAAACACATAAACAGATTTGAGCTCCAATTGAAGATTTAAGGGTTTCGACAATTGGGTAAAGTGAAAGAGAGAGAGAGAGTCGGATAAAATCACCTTCAATTGGATCAGCTCTTCTGAGATTAGATCCGGCGGTGTTTCAGAGAGCGGCGACGGCGAGAGATTCTGCCGGAATTGGCGACGGCGAGAGATTCCGCCGGAATTGGCGACGGCGATAGATTTGGAGATTTGAAGGTTTAAGGGTTTCGTTTCTCTAAGAGTTAAGAGAAGAAGAGAGTCGCGACAAAGTGTTAAGAGAAGAAGAAAGTTTTTGCTTTTTAGTAAATTTGGCTAAGTGTTTGGCGGTATAAGTGATTTTACTTCCCGCTTATTGAAACTCTATTATAGCGTTTATCAAATGCTATCATATGGTAAGCAAATTACAAACTCATCTTAGATAGCAAATGTGAAAATCGTGCTATTATTAGGTGCTATGAATGTACAGTTTTTTTGTAGTGAGGTTTTCCTGCTCGTATTGATCTGCAAGTTGAGCTTCATCTTCGAGCTGTGCCTCTCCATCCAATGGCTGAACTACATTATTAGTAGTACCAAGAGTTGTTTGTCCGCTGGTTTCATTTCGCGCAACGGAACTTGGCGAGTTGAGTATCCTCCTTCGGATTCCCACAGGATTTCCTGCACTTAAAGAGCGAACACGAGTTTGTATAGTATTGACGTTTTGACTAAGAGATACCTAGGATGTTTGCAACGTATCGACAGCCTTTTCCACATCCGAGAACTTTTTTGATATGTCCGACATGGTTTGCTGCATAGCTTTGAGGGTTTCGGCCAATGATGTCTCAACGGCGTCTCCTCCGGACATTGCTGCTTATCTCGGGAATGTAGTAAAGAAAAATCTGACCACTCAAGAATCCTCTATCCCCACAGGCGGCGCCAAAATGTGGATGTCGGATTCACACACTCAAGTATTTTTATTAGTAGGAAATATTATTCTTGAGGGACAAAAAATAAGAACGTAAAAGGCTTATGAATTGCTACAAAAAATTGCTATCGTATTTCTTGTTCAAGAGAGAGATCCCCCTTACATGGCCATTGGCCTTTATATTTATACATAGAAAAACGACATTAAAATGAGTAATTAAGTACAATTATTCCTTCTTAAATGTGTCCGTTTTGATTCTTTGACTTTAATGCTCAACGTTTGAATTTGAGTTGACTCTGATCTTCATGGGCCTCGCCTTTTGGCCCAAGTGTCCTTGAACCGACTTACCCGTGTCTTCTACACCGAACTCATGTTAAAGTGCAGCCACTTCGGATTCTCGAAGTGGTGACAACCACTTCGATCGTTCCTTCGGCTCATGGGTCCAATGGGCTTTATCCTTTATGGGCCATTATCTTGACTACGTGGTAATCTTTGGTTGGTCTCGGACTTCTGGTGCGGGATCCGACACCAACACAATGTAAACGATCAAACAAAACCTTAAGTATCGCCACCTAGCCGAATGATCATGCCACCCCCCCTTCCCCCCCCCCCCCCCCCTTTGATTAGCCCTTTTAACCCAACAAGAAAACTACTCTAGCATGGTTAAGGAACTCATCAAAGTTAGGTTTGATAAATTCATAAGAATAATATGAATAATAATTGAATAGAGTTCAGCGATTACTTTTTGAATGTCGAATACGAGAGGTAAGACTTCACCTTAATAGATCTTAGAGTAAAAAAGAGAAAAGAGAAGGGAATTGGTGTTCTTCAAAGCTTCAGATCAAAGAAGTGGTGTCTGCGGCTTATAGGGCTTCCGGCAAAAAAGAAGCACTCCTTGAAGACACGATGAAGGGACACCTAGGTTTAGGATTTAGAACAAGTATTTATAGGTCTTGAGGACCAAGGAATCGGTTCACGGGTAAAAGCGTCAATTTCCGTCGATTAGGTTAAGTGCAAGTCGAGATTCTGGACCGGGTGTGAGACTCTCCAACCGTGCTCCTCTTGAGGTTTCAGATCGGTTACAAGCTTTGTGACCGGTCCCAACATGGACTTCACCACCGGTCGCACGCTTTGCGACGGGTCTCGGACAGGGCTTCACTCAATCCGCTATAAACTTCGTTTGGTAGACTAGACTGAGTTGTTTCTTCCTCCATACTCTTCTAGCTTTCCATAGAGTCCAATATCTCTGAATTTTCTTGACGGGAAGGCCTCCAACGGATGCCAAAATTCTAGAGCTTTGAATCTGTCCGAAAATGCATTTTGATCGCCTTTTGGTTCTTTTTGCTCCAAAATTATTAAAATCTTCTTGATTCCATAAATACTTGAATATCTCCTCTTTGACCTTGAAATCACACCAAATACTTCCTAAAACATAAGAAAACAATAGCAAATATGGGAGAAAATTTCCATGTGATAGTCACCCACGATTGTTGTCCTCAATCCTCAAACTTCGGACGAGATCATCAAGAGTAATTGCTTTACGTTTGAAATTAAGGTAATTTTTGAATCTGACCAGCCTGGTTAATGAGACCCAACCTACCGGACAGCATACGGACAACGATCCGGACGAGGGCCGGGACGAGGGACGGGACATGGACCTACCCGGAGCAACCCACGGGACACTACCGGCGACCAAGGTACCTCAAATCCTTCCGGGAGCTGTCACAAGGTCAAGGGGAGCTGCACGCAATCTCAGGATCAAGTGCAATGCCTTCGCGGAAGAGTTCATCCAAACACACGACCCACGGCCATACGGCCCCATTGGACCCGACCATCCGGACGATCATGAGCTTGTCCGGACCGTCTTCACCATCACTAGGTGAAGGCATCAAAGTCACTAGCTGGACGTGGTACTCTTTTTCCCTACTTGGGTTTATCCCACGTGGTTTACCAAGAGGGTTTTAACGAGGCCAACGTACACTAGCGCATGACCACGCATCTCCGCATGACGTGGCCATCTCTCCTCCCTTTCGTAATAAAGCCGTTAGGCTCTTCTTGTCTTATGGTTTGTATTTTGACACGTCTATCCTTGTTGACCCGCGCTTTGACTGTTTGCTTTAGGGTTTTATGAGTCTCCCTTGTAAACGCCTATATAAAGGCCCTCTAAGTCACTTGTAAGGGTTAGCTTCTTTTGAAATAAAAATCAGTCCTTTCTTTTTTCTCATTTGTTGCGAAAACATTGAGAGCTCCTTAGAGTCTTTGAATCGGATTCAAAGCCTCTAAGTGTAACCGTATCACGAGCCCACCATCCCTCGTGTGTCATTACCTCGTTCCACCTTCACACCCCTCTTCTCCAAGTCACCACCGGTTCGAGATACTCACCGGTTGTCGCTACCCACCCTCGCCAATCATCCCTTTGGAGTCTAGGCGATTCGAGCTACTCATCGTCAACCTCCCTCGCCGTCCCGCAACCGTCTGTGACCGAAGGCCCTGTCCGTACCGATCGCCGACCGTACCATCGTCCCGAAGGCTATTTCCGTGACCGTGTGACGCATCAGCTTTTGGTATCAGAGCCGAACGTTCCTAAGGTTGTATCTATCCTTCTTAGTTCTCTTTGTGTTGTTTATCGTTGTTTCATTTCAAAAAAAAAAAAAAAAAAAAAAAAAAAAAAAAGTTTTCTTTCCTTGTGTTCTTCGCCTTCCCTTCTTGTTTCTCTTAGAAAGTCTTAGTCTTTTTGTGTTTTAGTATCATTTTGGGTTAAAAGCTTGAGTTTTGCTTCGGGTTTTTGTTTCGTGGCCTTGAAAACCACTCGTTTGAAGTCGCTTTTCGTTTTTAGCCGGTTTTGATTTTTTCGTGTTCTTCGTGTTCATCGTGCTCTTCACCGTGTTTTTCATCTTGTTAGGCTGTTAGATCTTTAGTTGTTTTGTTCCTTAGTGTTATCGCTTTAGTTTGGTGGCCTTGAAACCACGTGTATCGTTTTGGGTCACACGGTTTCGTACCGTTTGTCCTCTAGCGTTTTCGTTTTGGTCTTAGGTTGCTTTTTTTTGCTTTTTGACCGTTCTCTCTCCAATCATGAGCTGTCACTTTTTTTGAAATTGATTCCATCTTATCAACATATCGCAACCTTAAAACGCACGTGTTCTTTGTTTGGGACAGGTGGGACGAACCTCGCTAGCCGTACGGACCAAACGGACCACGACAGCGACCGTACGTACCATCGACCATCGACCAACGACCATACGTACCATCGACCACCGACCATTGGCCACCGACCGCCACCAGTCTACCATCGCCGGTTACTCACTCCGACCAACTTTCCGACCACCCGCCGCCGTCTGACATTTCCCGGTGTACCGGAATCCGTACTATGGCCGGACAAGACCCACCTATAGCACCCGCTCCTCCACCCGACCTTGGAGTCATTCTGACCCAAATCCAAGCTCAAATGGGACGGATCGATAATCGGCTTTATCTCTTTGAGCAAGCTATACCACCACCCGTGCCCCTTGTACGACGGGTCCGAGACCAAAGACTCCCACCAGTCGACGACCAAGAACAAGATCAAGGTCAAGGTGAGGGACACACGTCGGATGAAGAAGACTCCGACTATCCAAGACGAAGAAACAACCGACGGGACAACGAACGACCAATGGGTCCTAATCTCACCGGACCCTCCTGCAAGCTTACCGTCCCAACCTTTGCGGGAAAGGTTGATCCGGAGGCCTACCTACAATGGGAAGGCCGAATGGACAAGGTTTTCTCTTGTTACAACTACCCGGAGATACGAAAGGTCATTATAGCCGCTGCTCAATTCACGGACCATGCCCTTACTTGGTGGGACCGCGACGTCGACGACCGACGACGTAACCACGAGAGACCCGTGGCCACTTGGGACGCAATGAAGGCCATCATGAGACGCCGATACATTCCCCAATACTTTAGCCGTGACCTACAACGCGATTTAGGAAGCTCACTCAAGGAATAAAAAGCGTTGAGGAATATTATGAGGACTTTGAGCACTTGAGGAACCGTTTACAACTAGAAGAGACCGAAGAGGCTTTGATGGCCCAATTCTTAGACGGATTGAATGACCGGATCACAAGGAAGGTTGAACGCCAATCCTACCAAGGGTTTGAGGAGATGTTGCACCTAGCCATCCAAGTAGAACAACAAATCAAGAAGAAAATTGCAAGCACCATCCGGACCAAGGGACAAGGACTTCCAAGTTGGTCGCCCAACGCCTCACCGTCTCA